ACGTCCTGTCCGTCCGTTCGTCGGTCAACATTTTCGTAGGGTCACCGATACTCCAGGAACCGTTTGACCCACACTGTTTGAAATTGGGCTATATGTTGTTACTGCTATGCTCCCAATATTAACGTCCTATTTTTTGGAAGCAACGTAGTCGACGTACTTTCAGGCCACGACAATATTATTTTTTTTGGCAAAAATGGGGAATTGCCATGAGTCAGTTCAGCTTCAACGTTATTTTGCTCTTTTTGGATTCGTGAAATGATAAGGGCTAGGAGGTTTGTATTTAAAAAAAAATATACAAATTAGGTAGGGTTTGGCCAATTATATATCAATTATATAGACACAAACAGTGTGGTGTCACACTTGTTCTGTGTTCGTTTCAAGATTTCATTTGACAATATCTTTATGCAAAATTGTATTTATCGCTCTCCCACCGCTGCGCGATAAACGTCTATATTAGGCTATTAAAGTTTATCAAACATGTCGAAGCGCCGCATAACCTATTTATTTCAAAACGCCATCGCTACCAAAGCGGGTATAGGGGCGCCATCTATCGGTCACAAATTGTGATTCATTGCGGTTGGTGTGTTATAAATTATTATTGCGATATACAGTTGGCAAATCCGTTTCTTATTAATGTGCGGCGATGGTTGCTCAATAAAACTGACTTTCTTCTTAACTCACGTGGCATTTGTGTCCCTTTTTTGTGGGTGAGCTACAGTGTTATTGACACTTTCATTCTATGTAGCATCAACGAGCTAAATCCAAGCTAGCCAGCTCTTCTAGTATATATGCCTTCAAACAACGACGCGATTTCGTTTTGAGATGTTGATGTATACAGTAAATGAGCCGATCCAGTGTTCGTGAGTTCGTGCATGCCCGTTCGGCTTGCGAGTGTGCCGCCGCCGTGTGTGAGAGTGCGTTCCACGGCACACGTAGTGCAAATTCTTATAATCCTTATGCATTGCAGGTGAAAAAGAAGTCGTTTGAGCCTAACACACCACAGGCTTTAAAAAGCTCGAACCCTCTACATTCATTTTTTCTTCCTCCACAACTGTTTTTTTTTTTTCTCTCTGGCCGCGCAACTGACGAACGAAACGCGAACCGGCCGGCGGGGCCCCATCGCCACTTGACAGTCAAACGAGAAGAATACTAGATGTAATAGGTGAAGTCTCTGGCCGCGTTGAAGGTTGTCTCCTGAACACATAGACCATGCACAGTTACCCCGCTTAACGAGCGGTAGTGCAGCAAACGTGGAGATGATGATGATGATAGCACCGTAATAATGATGATGCGTGACCGATGACAAATGATGATCAATGATTGATGGTGAACTATTATTGGAAATATTCAGCAATATCCTCTGCACACACGACCGTGGGAACAAAATGTCCTTGTGCCTGTCTGCATCCTTGTATCTGTTCTGGGAGAATTAACAGTTAGCTACTTATACGCGTATATGGTTGTCTCAAGTGTTTTCCTTCTATGTAACGATGTTATCTATTCATTACATGCGTGCGGCAGAGCATGTCCTATGTTATTTATAACAATTGGTAATTTTGCTGTAATATTATTATTATGTATCTGTGAGATCAGAGGCCGCAAATTTAATTTCATGAAACCTCTGATATTCGTGACAGCCATAATCTTAATTTTTTGGGCTGTGAAAGGTTTCCTGGTTAAAATTATTATCAATGTGGCATAATAACTATTTATAGCCACATGTTCATCGTGTTTTCTCGTGCATGGAATTGTCTTTAGGGCATTGTTAGTTAAGGTTATCAGAGATATCTGAGTGAAGATGCGATGAAATGAATTTTCGCTCTAACGCTACGCCAGCTATCACCAGAAACACTTGAAATTTCCAGTACGTTCAGTTACATATGTTCGTTGTCCCCTGTACTCTACTTCAACATAACTACGTATGAATACCCACAGTCTGTTAGTTCTCTCTCTCTCTCTCTCTCTCTCCTTCTTGCTCTCTCTCTCTCCTCTCTCCTCTCCTCTTCTTCTCTTCTCTCTCTTCTCTCTCTCTCTCTCCTCTCTCTCTCTCTCCTTCTCTCATCTCTCTCTCTCTCTCTCTCTCTCTCTCTCTCTCTCGTCTCCTCTCTTCTCATCTCTCTTCTCTCTCTCTCGCGTCTCCCTCTCTCCTCTTCTCTCTCGTCTCTCTCTCTTCTCCCTCCTCTCTCTCCTCTTCTCTCGCTCCTCCATCTCTCTCTCTCTCTCTCTTCTCTCCATCTCTCTTCTCCTTCTTTCTCTCTCTCTCTCTCTCTCTCTCTCTCTGTCTCTCGTGTTCTCTTCTGTCTCTCTGTCTCTCTGTCTCTCTTTCTCTCGTCTCTCTGTCTCTCTGTCTCTTCTGTCTCTGTCTCCTGTCTCTGTCTCTCTCTCCGTCTCTCTTTTTCTCTCTCCTCCCGTCTCTCCTCTCTCTCTCTCTCTCGTCTCCTCTGTTCTCTGTCTCTCTGTCCTCTGTCTCCTCCTGTCTCTCTGGTCTCTCTTCTTCTCTGTCTCGTCTGCTTCTCTCTGGTTTATCTGCCTGTACTCTAGTCTGCTGTCTCTTTCTGCTCTCTCTCTCCTCTCTCTCTCGGTCTCTCTCATCTCCTGTCTCTCTTCTCTGTCTCTTCTCTGTCTCTCTCTTTCTCTCTCTTCTCTTCTCTCTCTCTCTCTCTCTGTCTGCTCTCCTCTCTCTCTCTCTCTCTTCTCTCTCTTCTCTCTCTCTCTCTTCTCTCTCTCTCTGTCTCTTGTCTCTCTCTCTCTCTTCATCTCTCCTCTCTCTGCTCTCTCTCTCTCTCTCTCTCTCTCTCTCTCTCTCTCTCTCCCTCTCTCTTCTTCTCTTCTCTATCCTATCTAGCTATCATCTTTTCAGCATCGACCTTGAATATAACTAAACTATTTCTGTACAGTCCAGTCATCACGTTCCTTTACCACCTTTCATTTATAAACAGAAGTCAGTCCTATTATTAATATTTTTTGACATGATAAGATAGTAACTATACTATTGTCAAGTCTTGCTCTTTTTCACATCGCCAAATTCCGCAACGCGCACTGCCACACTCACGCCAAACGGTGTTACATATTTATGGTATCAGGACAATACCTCGGGACAATCACTCCGGACATTACCCCCGCCGACATTTTACCCCTATGCCATTCAACCTCCTCCTCCACCTCCTCTCCTCCTCAACATCCCTGCCTCCTCCTCTTCCGTCCTCCTCCTCCCTCACCACCTTCTCCCACCTCTCCCCGTCTTACTCCTCCACCTTCCCTTCCTCCTCGACCTCCTCCCTGTATCACTGTTTCAACAATGAATAATAAACACAAGTGAGTAATTCGTCCGGGGTGACTCTCGTGATGGCGCAGGGGGTATTTGTTCCTTAGAACCCATATTTATAATATACAATTATACACAGAAACGTTACGAAGAAATACGCTTTCAAGATAAATGTTCAGTAACGCAAAATTCCATACGTAATGTGTAATAACATAACCGTTACCATGTTCTCATTTGACTTTTGATGATCAAATTAGAATTAGATTCACTAAGAACAAATTTAATCGGCCAAAGCGAAGCAGGACATAATTCAGCAAGATCCCCTAATACCGACACAGTAATATAAATCGCAAGTATACATTGATACAGTCATGATGTAACGCCAACAAACGCGATCGAACCGATCAGTATCTTGAGAACACGGGGGGGGCGCAAGGACACTGAAAACTGTCCAGTTGCAGTTCAACCTGGTCAAGATCGTATGACGTTAATTTATGATGTAACTCGGAAAAATACCTAACAGTAGCGAATTGCATTCTGCCATTATTATTACAATGCGATCACTGCTAAAGGAAATTCGCATTACAATGCGTTGTTTTTTTAGGAATTAAATTAACGTAATTATTTTTAAAAATAATTTTTAATGAAGAAAAGAACACGGTTGCAGAAACACGAAATTCCAAACATCAGGAACAGCTGGCGCCCTCTAAAGTCTGGGAAGCTGTCTATATAACCAGCCTCAATGTTATTGTTGGGTGAGCGAGAAATGATTGTAAGCAACGAATTTCTGTATCGTATCGGTTCATGCACCGATACAAATTATTGGGCCGAACTGCGTAACGCAAAGGGGTAATTACTCTACCAGTACGGCTGTATATCACAACAACGTGGATGCACGCACGTACAACATTGAACTCACACCTGTCAGATGTCACCTTTGCTGAGGAGCTTGCATTGATTACAGTTTAGCAGCAGGTATCTCAAGTCGAATACTGCCTTATGTGACAATCTAATTCTTGGTGAGCATTTTTGAGAGGGAGTGAAGAAGTGTC